CGTCCCACGCCCAAAAGAAGTTCACGTACCAAGTTTCGTTAAGATATCTCAATTTTTACTCGAGTTATCGTGTGCACAGACGGACGGACGGACGGACAGACAGTCACCGCTTAATCGATTTCTCTTTTCATTCTGATCATTTATGTATACATTTGTCTATATCTATCTCGATTCGTTTTGCCTGTTACAAACAACCGTTATGTGAACAAAGTTATAATACCCTTGTGCACAAGTGCGCTCGGGTATAAAAATTACATGTTGCCTCTGACGGCATTCGAACCCGAACACGCTGGGAGCTAAGAACTAACAGCGAGCATCTCTACACGTTCAGCTACAGCCAGACATGCAAATGTGCTTTCAAATGCTCAACTTCAATCAAGTTTCGTTAAAACACGAGCAGTGATCGGATAACAAACAATAAGCTGGCGCAGAGACACGAGTTTGTCCGCTACAGCATGATAGAGGATCACTTTTGTAAGTACTCCAATTTACCACAAATAGACTACATGCTCCAACGATTTTTGCAGGGAACTTTTGTAAATGCTTTCCAGACAAGCGATTTCTACTTTCTCTACTACACGACCGCACTTTTCGCGAAAACTCTGTTAAGTTGCCGTTGCAATGATAAAAGTAGTAGAAATTAATCTTTCGATACCAAATACTTTTTTTTGATACTTACCCGCTACCGACCAAAAAGGTATCAAGTAAAAAAATTCTTGGTGTCAAATGAAAAGTATCGAGTATTTACTTGTATCGATTGAACCCTAGACATAGCTGCAAATTAGAAAATAAGAACAAAAATGTTTACGCCCCGTCGCTTGGACGAAAAAATTTTAATTCATAGAAAACAGAATAAATTCGACCGCAGCGCAAGAAACATTGATTTTTATTCATTTTGAATCGGCGCTTCTACTATGAAATTTTTTTCGTATACAAAGTCCAGAAATCTAAATCTAAATACTCCAACAAAAATTTTATGCTTTTTTCGATAAAAAAACGCGATTTTTATTTGGTTTTAGTGCTTTTTCTAATTCAAAACTTGGCAACACTGTTTATTGGGTGTCTAAAAAATTCTGTTTGTGTATACCTGCTCTCTCACAAACTGCTTATGTATGTAAGTGCCTGTTTTTATAGCAAGCACTCGGTTTAGTTGCGTTGGTCGCGTCTACTACGGGCTCAGCGGATTCGAAAATAACGCAATGCCCGCAGTATTGCTTTGAACTTTGTCGACGATGGAGGATTTCATAGCCGAAGTACACAAAAGAGAATTTTTGTGGAATAAAAAGAAGATACCAATTGGCGGAAAAAAAAGTATTACAGAAAAACTATGGCGAGAAGTAGCGGCCGCGTGTGGTATATCAAGTGAGTTCGATTTTAAAAATACACATGCATATGTATGTATACTATATGTTTAAGGTTTATCATACAAATGTATATATGTATGCACATGCATCTACATACTTACATATGTATATACGTACATGTTTAAGTGTGCATACACATACAAACATGCATTGGTGCATGCATACATATCGCCTTTAGATAGAATGACCCTAACTCATATAGTCGCTGAAATGGAAAAAAGCCGGGACTGACTAAAATTTTTGATTGCTTAAAGTGATGCGTGGACTCATAATTCGATGAAATGCATCTTAGTCAATCAAAACGGGAATTTTGGATTTTTAGTTAGTTACGGCTTTTTGTATTTCAGCGATATGTGAGATAGGGCTTTCTATATTAAGGTAACGATATGTACACACATACATACATTGTATATTTCGAGCCAGAACCAACAAAACGTGTTTTGTCTGTTTGCACTTTGCCGCTGTGGTGAATTTTTCATCGTTTTCTTGTCAGAGGTTAAATACATTCGGGGATACTACAGCGAACAATTTTTGGCTGGGTTTACGCAAATTTCAAATGTTTGTGCGTACATAATTTTGATTACATAAGGGTTTCTGTCAAAACGCCAATCACATTTTCTTTTCTCGAAAAAAAATTTCACTTGTTTATACGGCAACATTATCAGAGGGCAACATTTTAAAGAAATAGCAAGCAATATGCATGTGGAGATGCTGAGAAAAGAACACGAAAACTTCACAGCCCTGACTCAGGGCAGAAAAAATTCAGCATTTTTTCGAGAAAAAAAACGCTATCACCTTCTATTGAACATATTTGCAAGCATGATGCATTCTTTTTCATTTCGAATTCTTTTTACTTGTTGGAGGAATTATTTAATTTCGTACTTCGGAGAAATAATCTGTCAAAGTTTTGATTTTATCCTGATCTGACTATTCATGAACTTTTTAATGGCATTTTCCTTTCTCAAAAAAAAAAAACAAATCACCTTATATGGAAACATTTACAGAGTGCAACATTTTAAGGAAAGAGTACGCAATACGCATGTGAAGACTGATCTGACTATTCATGAACTTTTTAATGGCATTTTCCTTTCTCAAAAAAAAAAAACAAATCACCTTATATGGAAACATTTGCAGAGTGCAACATTTTAAGAAAAGAGTACGCAATACGCATGTGAAGACTGATCTGACTATTCATGAACTTTTTAATGGCATTTTCTTTTCTCCAAAAAAAATTTCACCTTATATGGAAACATTTACAGAGTGTAACATTTTAAGGAAAGAGTACGCAATACGCATGTGAAGATGCTGAGAAAAGAACGCGAAAACTTGACAGCCCTGGTGCAGTGCAGAGTAAATGCAACGTTACTTGGAGAAAAGAAAACGCTATAAAACTATCATAGTATCTCGGGTTCTACTCTTCGTTAACGTCGTTTTAAAGCTAAAGAAATGGGCCTAATAACTGTTCTAAAGCTATCTTAGTTATCGAAGTTGATTTATATGATCGCAGACCAGTATATTAGGTATTTAAACAATACATCGTAATCTCCGTTTAATTCTCAATAAAAAAAAATTTTATTAATTACTTTAACCAACTGGTTAATTTTTTTGACTGTGTTGTATTATGTGAGAGAAAATTTTTTGTAACTTGTTTTGGGAAATGTATGTTGTGATATACCCAATATGTGTACTTTTCAAAATAATACTGTTGTTTTGNTTAGGTATTTAAACAATACATCGTAATCTCCGTTTAATTCTCAATAAAAATAAATTTTATTAATTACTTTAACCAACTGGTTAATTTTTTTGACTGTGTTGTATTATGTGAGAGAAAATTTTTTTGTAACTTGTTTTCGGAAATGTATGTTGTGATATACCCAATATGTGTACTTTTCAAAATAATACTGTTGTTTTACAAGCCAGGGTATGTTCTTNAAAGAGTACGCAATACGCATGTGAAGACTGATCTGACTATTCATGAACTTTTTAATGGCATTTTCTTTTCTCCAAAAAAAATTTCACCTTATATGGAAACATTTACAGAGTGTAACATTTTAAGGAAAGAGTACGCAATACGCATGTGAAGATGCTGAGAAAAGAACGCGAAAACTTGACAGCCCTGGTGCAGTGCAGAGTAAATGCAACGTTACTTGGAGAAAAGAAAACGCTATAAAACTATCGTAGTATCTCGGGTTCTACTCTTCGTTAACGTCGTTTTAAAGCTAAAGAAATGGGCCTAATAACTGTTCTAAAGCTATCTTAGTTATCGAAGTTGATTTATATGATCGCAGACCAGTATATTAGGTATTTAAACAATACATCGTAATCTCCGTTTAATTCTCAATAAAAATAAATTTTATTAATTACTTTAACCAACTGGTTAATTTTTTTGACTGTGTTGTATTATGTGAGAGAAAATTTTTTTGTAACTTGTTTTCGGAAATGTATGTTGTGATATACCCAATATGTGTACTTTTCAAAATAATACTGTTGTTTTACAAGCCAGGGTATGTTCTTAGAACATGGCTTTGCAATTATCTTACGAATACACAAATTGCAATTGTCTTACGAATATTTTTCAATTGGGGTATTCACAACGGTGTTGTAAGTGTAGTATTGTTGTATGTCGTAAACTTTAAACGGCTAAAAATATATCAAGGGGGTTTGCATGGGGCCACAAAAGGCGTATTATGAATTTTTACAGTGCTACAAAAAAGGTGGTTGTGGTCTCAAGTCCTCTAAGCATTTATTTAAGCTTTTAAACTTTACGACATACATTAATACGACACTTACAACACCGTTGTGAATACCCCAAATATAGCTATACATACAGTGCAATTTCAAATTACTATTTTTAAAACTATTTTCTAACTTTTTCCCCCAATTCATATTCTTCGTTGGTGACAAAACACCAGACAATATTCGCCAAAGATTCATTCCCATAGCCATTTTCTTCGTCAGTCAATAACATTGATAAGGAGTATATGTTAAGTCTAATAGATTCATAACTAAACTCCAAAAAAATTGCAAAGATATTTGCACTTAAGTACATCTAGTTTTGCTGGTGCTGGTTTTATGCAACGGCCTCTAAGAGGCACTTAGATTACATTTACCGCCAAATATTCTGAATTGATCCAACAATAAATCTAGTGAAACTTTATTTCTTTCAGAGGTAGCGGCCAAAACCCGATGGAGAAGTATACGTGATCAATTTCTGAAAGAGTTAAAGAAGGTGCCAGTATACAGCTCCGGTGAATCCTATTACTTCAAGAAATATAAGAAACCCAAATATACTCATTTTGATAGCTTAATGTTCCTAATGGATATATATACGCCAAGTAACATAGTTTATGAGTCTGGTAATTCGGGAAGCGATATCAATAATGAAGCTGAAGATTTTGCACCTCCGCTCGCAGAACCACAACCTCAAAATTTATCTCCACCCAGGAGCACGGACAGTATTTTTACAACCATTAGAAAGGTGTACACTCTGGATCTTGATCCTAATTTGTGTGAAGTAACATTTAAAGAAGAATCTGACGCATTTGTCTTCGATGACAGCAAAAATCAAACCGATGATGGTGTTCCGCCTTTAGTATTGATAAGGCATCAACCAGCAGATCCAACCTATACTGGCGGCGATAGAGCTTATCCTCTAGAACGCGGCAATAAAGCACATGCCACATACTTGAAGAATAATCACTACAACTGCCCAGACAAAAGAGTATCACTAGAACTAGATAATCAAGCTGAGCTCGAAAACTGCACTGACGAGAATTTAAATTTTTTCCGGTCCCTTTTACCTTATATGAATAAGATGGACCCAAAGCAGCAGTTGCGAGTGCGCATGCGGTTTCAGGAATTAATGATTGAAGAAATGGGAAGAACGAAACTNCAGCCAGTTGCCTACGCACTGTGCTAAGTTCGCCTTCAATAAAAAATGTTAATTAACTACCATAGAACAAAGTATATTACTTTCTTTAGTATTAAATTATACAAAAAATAAATAAATAGAGGCGGTAACCTCGTTCAACCAGAACTCCGTTGTGCTAATTAAATTTTTTTTTTACCACGCTTTTATAAACTCGCTTTCTTTTTTATTTCATTTTAATTTGCACAGATTTACATAAGTACATATTAGGGATGTTGCAAATGTGGAATTTTAGAGATCCGCGGATGCGAATGCGGATGTCAAGTATTTAAGAAATAATTTAGGTGATTTAGGTACATAAATAAAAATGGAAAGGTTAGTAATTTTTAGTAACGTTTTTTTTAGTACTTGAATCTAAAAATTGGAACAATGTATTTAATACAAACTCTTTAAAAGGTCGTAACTCAAACCTGCGCCACTAAATAACTACTGGCGTCATGGCATGATCTTTGTTTAAACACCGTTGTGTTCCAAAGAATTCTTCATTCTCATTCTTTTGATTGTGTCTGAATTTAGAGAACGTGTAACGTCATCAGCGTTTTTCGATTTTAGTTTTTGTTATTAATTTTTAATCCTTTCTTCTGTGACTGCCAAGATATACGTTTTATCAGTGCACTTGCGCAATATTCCAGGGACCGAAATTAAATGTTAGGCTGATTTCCTAAACGTATCAATACAATCTTGGATACTGTTATACTGCGGTATTCAAACTGTGGGTATATGCATAGCTGCGACACCTTGCAACCATATACATTACATATTTTAAATATTCAATATAGCAATGAACAATTTTTCCCGAATTTTCCATTTTGATTGCTCTAGCGATGCGTTTCGACAACTTTTCAGATGTGTTTTGGAAAAGTATACATTGTCAATATTGTGTACTTCGGTGTTATTGAACATTATACTTTGTACGTATGCAAAGCAGTTGACGTTTTGGAAGTCAGCTTTATTCTTTTTACGAGTTAAACTTGGCCCAATACTTTTTATTCCGAAACAAAAGTCCTTTCCGGATAATAAACAAACCGCTTATCCATTTTAAACAAATTTGGTATCATATGAAAGGGGACTGAAGTAGCTTTTAAACAATCGTACAACCAGCTTCGATAGCCAGCGAAGATCGAGAATCGAATGCAACTCATAATAGGGGCCATGTTTTTACGAATTGAGTTTGTCTCAATGAGCATTTGTGGTCAATACCCATGAAAAAAAATATATATGTATAGTTTTGCTACTTCAAATCGAACCTCGTGTAAACAATGATGGGAACCAGTGAGGAGGTTAGGAGTAGGGATGCAAGTTAAAAAAATACTTCGATGTTCTTTTCGATATGATGCATCGAAATATTGTATCCATGCATACCGATGTATCGTATAAAAGATCGATTTATTCAATGCATCGGATGAAAATACCAATTCAATTAAAAATACAAGTTAACGCCATTTCACTGGTATCGTAAATATTCATTTCAACATCGCAATTCCCCGCAGAAGAGAACACTACATATGAGTTAATACCATCCACACATCCGCTTCCCACACGACCATCCACTAAGGCATTGCAATCCCAACTTGCGGCGGCGGCGACGCCGGCGTGTCTGGAAACGCCGACGATACTGCCCATAAGGTAGATTCCAAAGAGCTATGAGGCTAGTAATCGTATCGTGTCATCTCGTCAGCGTTATGCATTCGCCATGCCAATTCAGATTATAATTCTATTTATTTCATTATTGAATTAGCTTTAAATTTAAATATTGTTACGTCCTACTCAAAGTAAGAGTTCCGGATCTTCTCAGCGAACTTTGTACAAAATTTATAAAAATTTACCAAAGCTTAATCAGAACTTCTAACTTTTTAGTACCAATTACTATAGGGCCATTCCAGCGGAAACGACACCCCAGGTAAAAAAATGAATTACATAAATTGTGTTTAAATCTAAATAAGTAGCTTTTTATGATGTATTTTTCACTATTTCCTTTATTTTGTTGTTGTAAATGCATATATAATATGCTAAAATATTTTTGCATTTTTTTTTATCAAGAAATTCCCCATGTACTAAAGGTGACAATGCAAAGAATAATTATCCAAAACGAAAGAACAATTCATGAACTTTAAAATGGTGGTAAGTTATTAGAAAAATACATTTATGGTGAGAAGTTGTAAGCGTTTCAAAAAAATGCTTATTGGATGTCCCACCCGTCACAACAAAATATGCATTTTTAACGTAAAAACACAAATTCTTAAGTTTCCCATTGTTCAAATGAGGTCTCTTATTAAAAAAAAAATAAATAAATATAAAAAAAATTTCGCATCATTCATTCATTTTACTCACGAACTATGTGTCCTCAAAGGTGAATCGTCATAAAATGTTGTCCCACCCGTCACAAGCTAAAATAGGTATTTTTTTGTATTGTAAATTTAATAAAGCCGTTAAAGTATAAAATGGTACTTAACATTCTCCTAACTAAATATTTATAGTTTGTCTAAAATTGGGAAGCGAATCCAACAACTCAGAGAAGCTGGTGTAATCGTTGTCCCACCCGTCGCGCTTGTAAAATGTTAAATTTATGTGTAAATTGTGTAATTAAATTGTATACTTTATCAGTTTCTTAATAAATTGATATCTGAATTAAAGTAAATAGTTAAAGAGAATTTACTAAACGTTTGAGCAAAAACGAGCTAGAATGTCCCACCCGTTACTTTGAAATACCCCTATAATAACTTTCGGTATGCTATTTTATAGTCCACTAAATTTTAGTGTAAAAAATGCAAATTTGAAATTGCTATAAATACTGAGTTATAAAACTGCATAACAACAAATGTTATAAAAAATCTTATCAAAAGCTCTGACTAAGCTTTGATGAGTTTTTGTAAGTTTTGTACAAAGTTTGAAATGTGGATATACATATTTTGATTTTCTTAGACAGCTTGCTTAATGGCAAGCCTGATTTTATTTGTTTCAAACAGCTGTTATGACTTGATTTTTTCACCTGTAAAATCTAAATAAAAGAGAAACTTAGAAAATTATGTGCAAAGTTAAATAAAAATTACAATTAAAATTAAACTTGAGTAGATTTAAATTTAAACATTTCGTGATAGTAGCGGCTTTTAGTGTACGGACTTTCCTACTGGGTATGTATATATACATCTTTAAACAAGCACACGCCTACATGCATATGCCTGAACTTAAACATATGCGAGCCGATACGATTCGTGTTTTTTTTTGTTTACTTCGCTATGAACCTACATACATCCATATGCATCTACAGTTTTTCTCTTTTGATTACCTGCTCGCTAACAAGCGGCCTGTGAATTTGCCGGTGGCTGTACTTGTAGCAACAACACTGCTCAGTTGCGTTGGTCGCGTCCACTGCGTTTCGGTTTCGAAAATAACGCAACGCTCGCAGTATTCCATTGAACTTTGTCGACGATGGGGGATCTAATAGCCGAAGTACGCAAAAGAGAATTTTTGTGGAATAAAAAGAAGATACCATTGGGCAAAAGAAAAAGAACTACAGAAAAACTATGGCAAGAAGTAGCGGACGCGTGTAGTATTTCAAGTGAGTGCGATTTTAAAAGTACATAAATATATGTGCATACATATGTATGTATTGTATATCGATGTGTACTTATTTATTTATGTGTGCATTTGTACACTGATAAACGAATTAATAAAAGCTCGCTGTCATTATAAGAGTTTGTAAGTAGTTAGAGAACTAGTTTTTAAATACACCAGTATAGATTTTAGAAAATATGTGTGTGCATATATATGCATGTATATAGAAATATCACTTCTTAAGACTGCGTTCAGCGGCATGCAGAGCTTCGCGTGAGGGAAAATCTACGCGCGCTTGGTAGATTAGGTCTCTCTTACAAATGAATATACGCATGCGCCAACATACATACATATGCATGAACCCTAAGCAATGAAACGTGTTTAGCCTCCTTTTGTACACTTCTGCTTTGCCGATGTGGTGAATTTTTCTTAGTAGGTTTATCACGTTTGGTGATAATACAGCGCAAAAATTTTCGCTGGGTTTATGCAAGTTTTAAATGTTTGTGCAGGAGCAATTTTGATTACATGCGGTTTTTGGCGACATACTTACATGCTTGCTTTAGAGCATATGTATATATGTATGTGCATAAATATAAATGTGTATAGTATATAGGTATACATAAATAATCATAATAAACACTTATTAAGTTAGGATTTAATAACTGATGATTTGCCACAGAATTAGTTACTAGCGCTATGGTGTAAATCCCTGTTCTTCTGGCCAAAACTAATTACGGCTGAATGGGTAGATGATTTAAAAAATATGAGTTCTTTATTAATTAGCATATGATTCTCCTAAAAAAATATTTTAACCCTTGAAAACTGAGGTGGTGTAAATGGGTCAATTTTTAATTACAAAAGTTTTAATGCAGTTTTTTTTATATTCGTATAAAGGAACAAAAAAAAAAAAATCCACATAGTTGTAAAACCCATCTATGTAGTGGCAATTTTTGAAAAATTTAGCCAAATTTACTAGTCTTGACAGCCCTGCCGCAGGGCAGAATAAATGCAACATTATTTTGAGAAAAGAAAACGCTATAGTTTATTTGCCTACTGAAAAGTTAAAACGAGCAACTTTTCCAGGAATAAAGTAAGCAGCCTTTTTCTTCCTACCTTTATTCCTTTATTGATTTCTTCCCTCCAAAGGGTAAATAGTTCTTCACTCCTGACAGTATCAAACTAACCTACGAAGAGCCATTTTCTCAGAAATCGCAACACAATATATGGTAGAATTAGTTCACTGATGTAATGCTGTTATTCCTAAATAAGTGTATCTTAGCCAAAGTTTATTTAAAGTTAATTTAAGAAAAATTTTATAATTTATTACAAGCAACAAAAAATGACTTTATCACACAAAAAAAGTCTTTTAAGTAAAAAAGTTTTGTTATCGTACATCGTTCCATTCCAATCTTTTTAAATAATGTTTTCTAATTTTTTTGTAACAGTTACTAATTTTACATTTACTGTTTCATGCTCAATGGAGTTCTCAATTGGACAAAGATGCGTACAAAAGTACAAAGTGAAAAAATATAAAGTGTTCCAGATAAACTGACGTTTTCATATTTGAAATCAAAATTTCATTTTGATATTAGATTTTCTTTCATTTCTGGTATTCGCTTTTTCAATTCTGGCATTAGCCCTTGGCTTTGTTGCATACCTCTGTCCAATTTTGGCTTAGATCCTCATCCTTTCGGACTTAAAACATCAGCTCTGCAACACTATGTGTTCTTTTCCACAAGCGGCAAGATGTGCTTGGCATTTTTTCTTTAGTTTTATATTCAAACCAAAAAAAGCATAAATGGCTGTTCACATAAGTCTTTCCTCGCTTTGCTTGACAGTTCGAACTTTGAAAACAAAGCGTGAAGCGTAGAAAGTATGCTACAATAAACGCTTCTGCGCAAATAACAGCTTCTGCGTTCTTCTTTTCCTACATATTTTATCTCTGTAAAATAGATAACAATACAATAATATGCATAAATAATAGTAATAAAAATTCATATTTACCTTATTTTTGTCATTAAATGCAAATGCAAGCGCACGAGAAAAGATGCATGTAGACAGCTGATTTCCAAAGCTCGAAAAAGTTGAAGTTGCTCATGATTTTGCTTCGCTTTGCTTTCCTCGCATTCTATTTAGCAAGACTCATATAAAATCATGTATTGAATTTATCTGTCAAATCGAATTTAAGAAGCAAAGCGAAGCAAAAGTCTTATGTAAACGGCCCTTAAGTTCTCACTCAAAAGGGCTAACATGAAAGTGAAACCAAAGAAAAATTTGTGATAATACATTGTCAAATAAGAGTACCGAAATAGAATGTCATTACTATCTGGCACCCTTTATATTATTACATTATGCGTAAGTAGACTTTGATTGCTGATTGTAGGCTTGAGTTAAAAATATCGATATATGAAAATATCGAGATTTTTTCAGAAAATAATGGATANCCCTTAAGTTCTCACTCAAAAGGGCTAACATGAAAGTGAAACCAAAGAAAAATTTCTGATAATACATTGTCAAATAAGAGTACCGAAATAGAATGTCATTACTATCTGGCACCCTTTATATTATTACATTATGCGTAAGTAGACTTTGATTGCTGATTGTAGGCTTGAGTTAAAAATATCGATATATGAAAATATCGAGATTTTTTCAGAAAATAATGGATACATATGTCGATATTTTAATCTCGAAATACCCAAACTTTGGTTGTGTCCCCAATGAACTTAAACAGTGTATATATGGACCAACCTCTACTAGAGAGCATATCAGACCCAATTGAGTTTTGCTTTAGAATATTTAATCTATCAAGGTTCTTCAGTATCGTCCGAAAGACTTGCTTCTGCTGTAAATTTAGCTCTGCCGGATAATTAGGGTGACCACATTATCCAACGTAAAATAGAGGATATTTTTGTCAAGATGATTTGGGAATACGTACACACAACTTGTATGATACAAGTACATACATTAAGTATATCGTAATTTGGATCAAATATTTATCAATTAATTATATTATTGTACAAGTTCCCCTTCTCGAAAGGCGATGTAAAGGATTTCAACCGATTCCTAAAAATAAAACCAAATCCTTATTAAGGACTTCGCCGCCAAAATGCGTTTATCATAATTCATACTACATGACGAAGCCTGCGGAGGTTCCTTTTCAGTGAACTGGAAACTCAGCGTGCGACACGATCCTGGAAAAAACTTTCCCTGTGCCTTTGAGAACAATGAATTTTACTCAAAGTATATTAATTTTTCTAGCAAAATGTCTAAATATTATTTTATTTATGTATTTATTTTTTCAATTATATAAATTTCCCTATCAGTATTAGCAACCATTCGTGACTTATATCTTGTACAGAGATCACCGAGGGGGGTGCGAAACAAACTGGCGAAGGTTATCATTATATTTTATATATCCTTAGCTCATTTAAAGTACAGTTTACGAAATAAAATGCAAAAGGCGTCCTTTATTTTGAAAAAAAAAAATTATAAAGAACAAGGGGTTAAAGGACTGTCCTATAAAATAAAGGACGGAGGTCACCTTAATTATCACATTTAGTTTTGTATTTTCCCAGCCAGCGAGAAATCTGAAAACGGAAAAAAGAAAGCTAGATGAAACGCGAACTTTTCTCCCTTTATCGATTCCATTATCGGACACTTACGATCTCTTTTTCCACCAAAGTGGGCGGCAGAAACGTATGTACAGAAAAGTACCGAAAATTGTTTTGAAACGGTTACTTTTTTGGCTGTTTTTCGGAAATTTTTCTGATCGAACTTTTCATTCAATACACTTTCCTTCTGCACTTCACAAATGCTTTTTCATAGGCCGGAAAAAAATGAAGGAAGCGCCTGACGGCATTCGAATCTGGCACGCGCAGCGACTGCCGACTACGTAGGTACCTAAACACGCTTTCAAATGTTTAGCTTGAACAATAAAATAAAATTATTGCTTTCAGATAGCATGATATTTTTCGAATGTTTTCCGGATACGAAAATTAATGCAAATAAAAATCCTTTTCGGAACGTTTCCGGGTGCAGAAACCGCACTGTTTTTTGAACGTTTTGGATACAAAAAGGAAAGAAAATTGTAGTCGTTTTCTGTACGCTTCCTCAACAAGACGTTTTATTTAAGTGGCAGTTTAGTTATTCTATCTTCTTGACATACTACCATAATATTCGATTGTAATATTTTTTAACCATTTTCAATGCATATAGTTCTCTATATTTCTGAATTTTAAAAATAAAATCATATTTCACAACATACTTTGTAAGCATAATAACCAGGGAACGTAAATAGCAGTTATTTTTTTCCAATAGTTAAACTTGGCCAGATATTTTTTAAGCTCGAAATAAAAGTCTTTCCGGATAGTAAACAAACCGCTTATCCAAATTAAACAAATTTGGTATCAAATGAAAGAGGACTTAAATAGCTTTTAAACAGAAATAACGATCGAAGGCTACCACTTCTATTTAAATTTGTTTTTATAATTTAATACAAAAGATATGCATATACCTGACCCAAGGTTTGTTCTATGGTAATTAAAAAACATTTCTTATGTAAACATTTTTCAATAGCTGGCTTTCTGCTGGTTTCCTCATTTAAATATTTCAGTTTCCCTAAATAATTCTGAAAATTTTTTCTTTCAGAAACTGTAGCCAAAACTCGATGGCGAAGTATACGTGATCAATTTCTCAAAGAGGTAAAGAAGGTGCCAGTGTACAGCTCCGGTGAATCCTATTATATCCAGGAAAACAAGAAATCCAAATATACTCATTTCAATAACTTAATCTTCCTACTGGATACGGACACGCCAAGACAGAAAGTTATCGAGATTAAGCCAGAATCCATAATAGGTATTCGCTCTTCCGAGACTAGTAATTCGTGGGATGATTCCAAAAGTATGGCGGAGGATTTTCCACATCCTCTACCAATGCCTCAGCCTGAAAATTTACCCCAATCTACGAGTACAGACAATACAATTACAAGCATTGGAAAGGTGTACGCATTGGAGGAAGATCTTGATCCGAATTTGTGTGAAGTAATATGGAAAGAAGAGTCCGACGCATTGGTATTCGATGAAATCAAAAATCAAAGCGATGATGGTGTGCCGCGATTCGGAATGATAAAGTCTCAACCCGCAAATCCAACCTATAGTGGCAGCATAAGAGTTTGCCCTCAAGAAGGCGATAATAAAGCCGATGTGCCGCACTTGAAGGATAATTACTACAAATGCCCAGATATAAGAGTAGCACTAGAACTAGAAAATCAAACTCAGTCCGAAAATTGCACTGAGGAGAATGAGAATTTACTATTTTTACGGTCACTTTTGCCTTATATGAATAAGATGGATCCAATGCAGCAATTTCGCGTGCGCATGCTTTTGGCCAATAATATTGCATTTCATTTCCTTTTATCTCCGCACGATAATAAATAGTTTAACTGTCATTTATAATTAGATACATATGTAATCGCAAATAATAGCCCAGTTATGCATAGCTTTGCATGAGAGTTGTCACATAAGAATCTGTTAAATGGACTTTGCGTGTAAGCAGTTACCCAACGCATAGTACTTAACATGTAGAATTCTGTTGGGTTTTGATTTTTACGTAAAAATGGTATAGCAGTGCAAGTTTGCATAACTGGGCTATAAACCGTTGTTATGTTCTAAGTAGTATAAAATAAATAATAATACAGCAAAGCGAGAATACTCTTGGCTCAAGCCTTATCCAATAGTCCTGAAATATACTAGCCAGAAATGCGATTGATTTGTAAAAGAGAGCACGATTTTGAAATATGAGTGTTTTTACTCTCTACAAAAAAATTTCTGCAACCTCACATACACGGTTTTGATTATCTTGGGGGTTCGTACTTTACACGACGATATGCTTATAAAGCAAGAATGATAGAATACAAGACTGCGCCAATGAGGGAGGATTTTTGAGCGTAATTTTTGCGTGACGTCATCTTGGTGCAATTGCGAGAGAGAAATGCCAAAACGCATATAAAAATATGTAAACAATGCAGAAAAATTTGTTAATTTTAATATTACATGGCACAATTTTGCAGGAATAAATAAATATACAAAGATTGATTAATTAGGAGCACGTAGCAATAACTTTGGACATGTAGCCCTTTAGGTAAGTACGATTTTTAGCACATGAAAAAATGGATGTACTAACAGAGCTTGCAATTTCATGTAGACCAAAAGGAAGGTGTGCAGCAAAGTGAATTTTTGGACTTGCCATTTTAAAAAGCCATGCAGAGTGCATATTTATATTTGTGGACGGTAGCCAACCACCATAAACTCCACAGCTGTTGACTACACAGCTTTTATTTGATGACTTTTGTACCATTTCCGAGAGGATGCATGAGTGTGGCTTTTTTGGAAGCAAATATTCTATGTCAGTAAAACATAATTTAAGCTGAACTTTTAAATGTTAATAATTTGGCCACTGTTTTGTATTAGGTACGTAACAGCGCGGTAAGATGCCGCCTGAATTAGCGCCTGGCGACCTTATCCACTGGTGCATACCAGCACTAAAAGAATCAGGTACTAACAAAAATAAGTAGGTGGTGAAGTTCATGTATCTATTTACTGTAGAAACTGCTTTTGTATGTATTGCCAGCAAACTAAACCAGCAACTGTCTACATTCACCATGAAAATATACCTACTACAATTCAAGAAAAGGCCATAATACTACTTTGGTCAATTGCAGCCGTTGCATACTTAGAAATAAATGTAAAAGTACAAATATTAATAAATATATTTTCTTGTGTAGGTCAGGATCATTCGGGTGTCCATCTACGTTTGCTGGTCAAGTGCATATTTACAAGTAAGTATACCACTCCATAAAAGCGAAAGTGGAAATATTCAGGAAATAGGTGAGGATCATTTGTGGTCCGTCCACATTCGCTGGTGCAGGGACTTACTCTTTTGAAGACGGTGTGCGATATACTGGTGTTTTGTATGTAAGCTTTAATAAGTGGAAAAAGTCTAGAGTACTAACCGTTGATCTTCTTCGATTATAAAAAGTGGGAAAATGTGATTTTGTATTTTGAAACTGTATGGTGGAAAGTGTGTTCTAATATCTATTTGATACCCAAAAAATGATCACGGCTGTACTTTTTGCTGATATATTACATACATATGTTCCATTTAGTTAAACAATACAAGAATATTGTAGTATGTACCACAAAAACGTATATTTTCTATAAAAAATCATAACTCAGAAAAAAAATCTTCGCTATTAGAGATTTGGGTTGATTGTCAGTGGCGGATTTATCGTACAGGCAACATAGGCTGAAGCCTAGGGCGGCAGAATTAAGGGGCGGCAAAATTTAAGACAGCTAAATTAAAAGAAAAAAATTTATTTGGATTCAGCTGCACTTGAAATTGTGTTTGTGTCTGTAAAATATTATTAATGATTCATCTCATTCAATACAATTCAAAATTAGAATTACGCTGCGAATTTTTCCTTAGTATAGCAG